CAGAACTAGGAACCATTGATAACCTCCAGAACCAGGAACCATTGATAACCTCAGAACTAGGAACCATTGATAACCTCAGAACTAGGAACCATTGATAACCTTCAGAACTAGGAACCTTTGATAACCTTCAGAACTAGGAACCATTGATAACCTTCAGAACTAGGAACCATTGATAACCTTCAGAACTAGGAACCATTGATAACCTCCAGAACTAGGAACCATTGATAACCTCCAGAACTAGGAACCATTGATAACCTCCAGAACTAGGAACCATTGATAACCTCCAGAACTAGGAACCATTGATAACCTCCAGAACTAGGAACCATTGATAACCTCCAGAACTAGGAACCATTGATAACCTCCAGAACTAGGAACCATTGATAACCTCCAGAACTAGGAACCATTGATAACCTCCAGAACTAGGAACCATTGATAACCTCCAGAACTAGGAACCATTGATAACCTCCAGAACTAGGAACCATTGATAACCTCCAGAACTAGGAACCATTGATAACCTCCAGAACTAGGAACCATTGATAACCTCCAGAACTAGGAACCATTGATAACCTCCAGAACTAGGAACCATTGATAACCTCCAGAACTAGGAACCATTGATAACCTCCAGAACTAGGAACCATTGATAACCTCCAGAACTAGGAACCATTGATAACCTCCAGAACTAGGAACCATTGATAACCTCCAGAACTAGGAACCATTGATAACCTCCAGAACTAGGAACCATTGATAACCTCCAGAACTAGGAACCATTGATAACCTCCAGAACTAGGAACCATTGATAACCTCCAGAACTAGGAACCATTGATAACCTCCAGAACTAGGAACCATTGATAACCTCCAGAACTAGGAACCATTGATAACCTTCAGAACTAGGAACCATTGATAACCTCCAGAACTAGGAACCATTGATAACCTTCAGAACCAGGAACCACTGATAACCTTCAGAACTAGGAACCATTGATAACCTTAGAACTAGGAACCATTGATAACCTCAGAACTAGAAACCATAGGTAACCTTCAAGCAAAATTTGAGAAAGACCCCTCCTGAACATTCTGAGAAATAACGCTACCAAACTTTCATTCTCAAATTCAAGATGGGTTTTCCCTTCTGTCCCCAAATATGATATTGGTAACTAGGAACCATGGGGAACTTTTGTGTAAAATTTCAGAAAGTTCTTTCTGAAAAGTAACTCTAACTAGCTTTAACTATCAAATTCAAGATGGCTGCCATTCAGTCATTTTGGTTTTGTGATCAGTCCCAAAAACCGATATGCATGGAACCTTCATGTGAAATTTGAGAAAGAGACCTCTATCACTTTCTGAGAAATAGTGCTAACAAGAAGTGTGTAAGGATGGATGGATTGATGACCAACCACAGACACAGGGTGATTTGAATAGCTCACATACTGATGATGGTGGGCTTAAAACTACAGAAACAACAGGAAGAAATATGGACTACTCATATAAAACTTAAAATCTGTCAGACATGGATATTACCTGTCAGCTGTGTATATAACTTGTTGGCTGTATATATTACCTGTCAGCTTTGTATATAACCTGTCGGCTGTATATATTACCTTTCAGCTGTGTATATAACCTGTCGGCTGTATATATTACCTGTCAGCTGTGTATATAACCTGTCTGTTGTGTACATAACTTGTCGGCTGTATATATTACCTGTCAGCTTTGTATATAACCTGTCGGCTGTATATATTACCTGTCAGCTGTGTATATAACTTGTTGGCTGTATATATTACCTGTCAGCTGTGTATATAACCTGTCTGTTGTGTACATAACTTGTCGGCTGTATATATTACCTGTCAGCTGTGTATATTACCTGTCAGCTGTATATATTACCTGTCAGCTGTGTATATAACCTGTCGGCTGTATATATTACCTGTCAGCTGTGTATAT